AAAAGTGAAGCAGTCAAGCGTGAGGAGAAGAAAGAAGATAGCAACACAAGTATGTGTGGTGTTTCTCATTCCTCTAGCCCTCTTTTAAAGCCTTTCATCCTCTGAAACCTCCCTTTTCTTTGTTCTGCCATGCTGTTGGTCCACATGGCACAGAAAACTGCCCCCTTGACGCCATGAAGCTAACTGCATCTCTGGCCATAATACCACCTTCTCGATTTTTTCATCAATATATTTTATTTTCCTTTCATTCGTCATCATTAGCACAAAGTTTCAACAGTCATGGCAATTGGCCTGTTCATATAATCTGTGATTGAAATTGGAAACTCAAACTCACAGGACTTTGTTTTTGTAAAGCAGTGGAAGATCGAGAGATGACACGTAATATGCTCTCGCTCAGTAAAAGATGCTTTAATTGCTGCCCATATCACTGCCAGTCAGCACGAGCAGGTTGAGAGGTGAGATAGACAGAAAGAAGAAAGGGAGAGATGGTTGCCACACACATTTTTGCATCATCAGTCCCGACTTTTGCTCTTTTTCTGTTTTTTATTGTTTCACCCGCTCTCTCTATCTGTCTCTCTCTCTCAGTTTGACGGTTGAGCTGTGGAGTCACCCTGGAGTCAGCCTAATGAAGTAGCGCTGTCAGTCGGGCCTGGCGTGCCCAAACTCTGTTTGATGTGCTCATAAATCAAGCTGACAGGCCTGTTACTCCGCTAGCTTTAGCCACTCAACTGCATCTAATGTAAACAGCGTGCAGACACAATGTGTTAAAGAACTTGAACTGTGTCCCATGGGATCCTAACAGGGAGAGCAAGAGAAAGGAGAGAAGACAGGGATGAAGAGGAGGAGGAAGGGAAGAGGGATAGACATGCTGAATATTGGCGTTACCTCACTTCTTTCGGTTGCGTGTTAACTGATGGTTCTCTGCTAGCTCTTTTATCGAATCTGTCATTCTCAAAATTTAGGGAAGAGAACAAGTACGGCCCTCCACAGAGAGCTGGGGCTGGATTCAAGAAAGAAAAAAAGTTGACATCCTCAGATATTTTCTATTTTTATATGTATGTGTGTTCTTTTTCTGGCTCTCTTATGTGTGCACCCAAAAATTAGGTTGCAATTATAAAATTAAAAGCAAGGTCCCTATTTGAGTTGTTTTTGTAAAGTTGTTACTGGATTTCAAATTAACGTGCATAATCATGATAGATCATTGTTTACATTATCATTCAGTTTTTGTCACCTCAGAGCAATCGATCCCTAGTAATAGTAATATGTATCATACATAGCTAGTGTGTTGCTGCATTGCTTAATATTTTAAACAACCCAATAAATTATTAAATATCTTAACTTTGGTGATTTAAGACAAGTTAAAGGTTATCCTAACTATATATGGTGGGTCTTTCTATAGAGGGTCAGAATGCTCTCGGATTTCATCAAAAATATCTTAATTTGTGGTCTTTTGGGTTTGGAACGACATGAGGGTGAGTTAATAATGACAGAATTTTCATTTTTGGGTAAACTATCACTTTAATAGGTCATTTGCAATGATTTTTCAGAACAATTTCACACATTCAAATTCTTAAATTTTGTCTATAGAACAATATTAAGGAAAAAGTTAACATTCTCAAGAAATATTTTTGAGAAAAAAAATCTTAACTTAAGAAAAAAATATCAGTTAAAAATAATTTTATTAAGAATTTGTGGATCCGGCTCTGGACTTTGTGACAGTCACTCTGTTCCAAATG